TACATTCAAGCTTCAGATGTACTAAAGCTTGTATGCAGTACCGTACTTACCATTATGAACAGTAAAGGCATTAGATTACTCATTTCCTACCATTGAACCCTGTTCAAACCATGTCTGCTGTTATCCATGTTAATCACAATCAGTGTTTTTTTCTTCGACAAGAACCAAGCTTCACAATTGGCAGAAAATACAATCATTTAAAATATGTGCACATGCTGTCTCAAAATGTGTAAAAAGAACTGTTACAAATTCTTCTAATGAAAAAGATCTGTCTAAACCATGACTTCTGAAAATTATACACATAAACATATATATGTTTAACATGTATAACTTGTATATCGCTTCTTCAGTTGGAACCATGCATACATACAAAATGTTCATTCAATTCATTTGACTCCTGGACCAGCAAATGTGTTGCACAATATGCCACCATACAAAAATTGTTGGAGCAATAGAGTCCATTCCGCGTCACCGTGTGGGTTTTTTCTCCATGTTTCTAATACGTTTGAATTATTTAGAAGAAAAGAATACCACAGTAACAAAAGTTCTAAATTGTTCAAAAATTTGAAAATGAAAATTTGAATATATTTGAATTCATTTATATATTTCTGAAACATTTTGAATGTGACTGTACAAAGTTCTCTTTATTTAGAATAAATTTGAACTACCCAATGTGTTTCTTTCACAATTCGAAATATTTTGAACTATTTCAAACAAATAACCAAATGGTAGATGTGGGTAATTGCCCCCATAAAAGTAGGTGCTAATCCGACTCTTCTGTCTTCCTCTGTATATTTTTAGATTTCACTGCTGGACACTGGTGGCTCTTTTGTTGTAAGGCATCAATGCCTGACACCCAGACAGTCTACCCTGTACTCCACAGGGATGTGTGAATTACTTCCTTCCCATCCCACTGACCTATTTACAAAATGTTAGAAATAATTCGAAATAATGGTAAAAAATGGTAGAGTGCTGTTAGAAATACTTAGAAACTATTGGAAATGTCATAATCCACATCAGGAACATTTCAAACGTTTTAGAAAACCAGGGAATTAATTAGAATATTGACAAGATGTTCAAAATATTTCCAAATTATGAAATTTCTTAGACAAACAATTACAAAGAATTCAAAACATTTCTAAATAATGACAATAACAACCCACTCGGTGACGCGGAATTGACTCTATGTGATACAGTTATGTTGCGTAATTTAAAAAGAACCTGTCTTCTAAACACTTCTTTAATTAAACATTTTGAATCTTAAGTTACTTATTAAGCTTCAGTGCTCTGTACTTACCGACAATAAATGCATCATGTTACAATAAAATTGTAGGAGCAATAAATGGTACGATCATGTTACTTAGGCCACATCATTTTAATTTCTTGGTTAACGTATTCGCCCGCTTCATTTTTTTCTGATTTGCAAATAAAAAATTCAGAATCAACTGCAAAATGCTCATATGTTGCCCTTCACAGTTGAAAACAGTCCTTTTCTTCCTAGTTGTTACAGTTATTCCATCTTTCAATGCACTGGTATCATTAAAAGTTCAAAAATCCATTGTTTAAATTTTGAACCAGCCTGGTGTGTTGACTTCATGGGTCATTTCGTACCATTTTGGGCCATAATAGGATGCCTGCTTTTTTCGCCCACCCGCTCCATTATTTTTCTACAAAAATCCGTTAACCAAGAAATTAAATTGGTGTGGCCTTATTAAGAAAAACCTTTCTACTACACGTTGTTTTAACATGTTACTTACTACATATATAAGCTTCAGCTGTAGTACTTACCATTGAACAGTAAAGGCATTAGATTCATTTCCTACAATTATCCACTTAACCCTCTCCCTGCTGCCTAACCCCATAAACAACAAAGTTGGTGCTAAAAGGCTACCATATTAGGCTGAAGGATGGGGTGAAACTCACCTTTACTGGCTTAACCACTAGCATTACAATTCTGAATAAATAAAAAAAAATAATTGCAAATTAAAAAAAGACTTAGTGCTCATCTAACATAAAAAGTAAAGTTTACATGTATCAACTTGTGAGCCAGCATGGCAGCTGGCCCTGTGGTATTTAAGTGATTTCTGACATTCAAGGACGCTCACCACAGTTCATGTACACAATGTTTGCAGAACCGATTGAGGTCTGCAATCAACATCCGTACCTGGGAATCTTAATATCACAGGACCTCAAGTGGACAGCTCACATCAACAACACCACGGCCAAGGCCAACACCACACTAGGTTTTCTCAGGAGAAACATACGGGGGCTTCAGTCGAGGTAAGAGCTAAAGCTTACACTTCCTTAGTTAGGCCCAAGTTGGAATATTCAGCAACAGTGTGGGACCCGCTCAAACGTCAGTATGCTCAAACCAGTGTCCAGGAAGAAAAGATCGAGGCAGTCCAAAGACGAGCGGCAAGATTTGTATTTCAGGATTACAGACACACCACAAGTGTAACACACCTTTTGAACAAACTAGGCTGGCCCACTCTGAAAGAGAGGAGAAAGATTGCACGACTGACACTGTTCTTCAAGGCCATCAACGACCAAGTATCCATCCCCATTCACAATTACACTTGCAGAAACACAAACCCCACAAGGGGTCATCCCCTACGCTACACCACATTTACATGTAAGACAGAAACTTACAGAGCAAGTTTTATACCAAGAACAGTTATGGAATGGAACACTTTACCAGCACACATTGTCACAGCGTCAACTGTAGATAACTTTAAGCTTGGGCTGGCCCAGTACAGGGGCCATCCCAGCCCCCAGAGGTAATCAGGACTCCAAGTGGGGCCATGTAAATAGAGTTCAAGCACAATTTTGGTTCTTTTTTTGCACTTTGTCGTTTTCATGTTTTCTTTTCAGCACCACCACCCCACCGGCCGCACCTAGCCGTGCACCCAGCACCCTGGTCGTGATGCCCCAGTGAGGGGTTTTGACCAGTACTACATAGAGGTAGAAGTAGAAGGATTTGGTGATGGCTTGAGACCGGCCCTGCAGTCTGATCATGACCACTGGCTATTTCTGTAGTGTTTGCGTCTTCCGATGGTGTTTCCACACCTTCATACATAAGATTTGTCTGTAGGGCAGCTAGCAATGGTTCACGCGTTAAATTTTTAATATCCAAGGATTGAGTTGTGGCCCGAGACTGGCCCTGCTCTGTCTGATCATGACCACTGTTTATTTCTGTATGTTTTGGCTCCTTTTCTGTTGTTTTCACACCTACATACATAGGATTTGTCTGTAAGGCAGGCAACTAGTAGTGCATCATGTGATAAATTTCAATATCCAAAGATTGAGTTATGGCCTGATACTGACCCAGTCGTGTCTGATAATGACCACTGGCTATTTCTGTAGTGGCTGGGTCCTTTGCTGGTGTTTTCATGTTTTCACACCTGAATACATAGAATTTGGCTGTCGCCATCTGTTATATAGTGGACATTCAAGGTACATAACGATTTAATTGTGTTAGTGGAAAATTTCTATAGATACATCTTCAAAAAGGAATTCAAAACAAACTTTTACTCGTATACAACATAACGCCTACGTTTTTACAATTATAAAATACTTCCTACTGTTGGAAACTAAAGCAGTTAAAAACACGTTAGTCATTTACCTGATGCAAATTTCTTGGCTTTTTGGTATTTCTAATCCAAATTATAGTGTAGACCGTTGATATTAGTCAAAAGATATTTGCTTGCATAACATATAGGTACACACTACGTCAAAGTAAACTACAGGAAATCAAATATAGTACTTTTGTTAAAACGCAACGCTAACAGTACCACCTACCTTTTAACTAATGTGTACAATTACTTACATTTAGACATTACTGCTCTATGTACATCTGCATTGTACAATCAATACCATCAAGTAAACTGTTGTTCCAGTACAATCCTAGATGGCAATAAAAAGTTTTTCTTGTTCAAAAAAACGGTCGATACTAGAACATTTGTTCCTGGAAGTAGTAATACAGTAATATAGAGAAACTGTAGTTAACACGGGATTGTGCGAACTAAATGTCACTACGAGATGGTCACAGTTGTGAAATCGGTGCCTCCGTATTGATTTTTATATGTTGAGTTAGGGCAGACTTAGAGGCTGCAGAATAGCTACACGATGGTCACACTTAAAGGTTGCCCTGTACCCACACTCCCCACACATGTAGGGTTTCTCACCAGTGTGCTTGGTTAGATGATAGTCTAAATGAGATTTCCATGCTGTAGAATAGTCACAATGGTCACACTTATAGGGTTTTTCACCTGTGTGTGTGTGTTGCTCGATGTTGGTCCAAACTTGGTTTAAATGCTGCAGAATAGTCACACTTGTCACATTTGTAGGGTTTTTCTCCTGTATGTGTTCTCATATGTCTGGATAAGTCAGACTTGTAAGCTGTTCTGTGTATCCACACTCCCCACACATGTAGGGTTTCTCACCGGTGTGTGTGTTGCTAGATGATGGTCTAAACTGGATTTATCTGCTGCAGAATAGTCACACTGGTCACACTTGTAGGGTTTTTCTCCTGTGTGGGTTCTCAGATGCCTGGATAAGTTGGACCTCACAGCTGTTCTGTACCCACTTTCCCCACACATGTAGGGTTTCTCACCTGTGTGCTTTGCTAGATGTGTGTCTAAATGAGATTTCTGTGCTGTTCTGTATCCACACTCACCACACAGGTAGGGTTTCTCAGCGGTGTGTTTTACTAGATGTCTGTCCAAATTGGATTTCTGTGTAGCAGAATAGTCACACTGGTCACACTTGTAGGGTTTTTCTCCTGTATGGGTTCTCATATGCTTGGATAAGTGAGACTTCTGAGTTGTCCTGTATCCACACTCCCCACACATGTAGGGCTTCTCACCAGCATGTATTTCTAGATGTCTGTCCAAATTAGCTTTCTGTGCAGCAGAATAGTCACACTGGTCACACTTGTAGGGTTTTTCTCCTGTATGGGTTCTCATATGTTGGAATAAGGTAGACTTCAGAGTTGCCCTGTACCCACACTCCCCACACATGTAGGGTTTCTCACCAGTGTGCTTTGCTAGATGTTTATTCAAATCAGATTTCCGTGCTGCAGAATAGTCACACTGGTCACACTTGTAGGGGTTTTCTCCTGTATGGGTTCTCATATGTCGAGATAAGCTGGACCTGTCAGCTGTCCTGTATCCACACTCCCCACACATGTAGGGTTTCTCACCGGCGTGTTTTGCTTTATGAACCTCTAAGGTGCCTTTCTGTGCTGCAGAATAGTCACACTGGTCACACTTGTAGGGTTTCTCACCAGTGTGTGTTGCTTTATGATTATCTAAGGTGCCTTTCTGTGCTGCAGAATAGTCACACTGGTCACACTTGTAGGGTTTTTCTCCTGTATGAGTTCTCATATGTCGGGATAAGTGAGACTTTTGAGCTGTCCTGTACCCACACTCCCCACACATGTAGGGTTTCTCACCAGCGTTATTCAAGTTGACTTGTTGTGCTGCCGCCTGGTCTTCAACATTGCTTGTTTTGCTGTCAGAATAGACCTGGGAAAACCCGGTGGGAGACCCATCACAGCAGTTCTGACAAACTCCGGTGGGAGACCCTTGTTCTGCCATCGCCATGTCCAGCTTAAAATGAGAAAATGGAGAAAGCATGAAGATTTGCAGAAAACAATGTATTTTCCCAATTAGATTAAAACGTAATTCATGACAACTCAATAAATGATAAAAGGATATAGTCATTGCAACTCTTAAATTGGGCTCATTTGCTGTTCGAAAAAATACATGTACACACGCACACACACACACACACACACACACACTCACTCACCCACACCCACGCATACACATACACACACACACACACACACACACACACACACACACACACACACACACACATGAGACAGGCAGACACACACACACACACATGCACGGACACATACATACACCCATCCACTCGGGCACACACACACATACACACACATACATACACACACACACACACACACACACTCACACACACCGTCACACACACACATACACACACAAACACACACTCACACACACTCACACACACACACACACCACACTCACACCACACACACACACGCAAGGACACATACATACACCCACCCACGCGGGCACACACACACACACACACACACACACACACACACACACACACACACACACACACACACACAAAGAGTGCCTTTTCCCAAGGACACAGGGTCGGTGACTTGGCAGGATTCGAACCCCAGACCTCTTGGTTCTAAGCCGATTAATGCCCAGCCGAAATACGCTACACAACCCCACATTGCGTTTCTTTACAATCCAGTAAAAATTGCTGTAAGTTTTTCTACACCATTCCACATCCTCCAACAAAAGGCCACTTTGCCTGATGCAGCATGACGTACTTGTACTAAGTACGTGGCGAGGTTCGAACGTACTACTACTAGTATGTTAGGTTTCGCCCCCCTCCCCCTTTAATTCCACGATATTCACATCACGAAAATAATGCCTACAAATTATCATCCTACTGCAGTTCCTTTTCCACAGAAATGGTCTTAAACTATTCCCCTCAACATTAGAATACTTTTCTGTTCGTTTCTAAGCCTTACCTGCTTCCTATGATGGTTTTTCTCTTCACGTAAACCGGAACTCGGGCAGCTTTGTCCTTCCGTCGTCTCGCGAGGTCAGAGGTGAACTTGATCTGGGTTAAGGGTGAAGTTGTCGACCTGATTAACCAAGTAGTGCATTTGACGTCAGTTGGCACGTTACGTTTTCCTCATAAATTATGTCAACGTTCTGTGTTTCAAACCCACCACTTTAACAACGTAACAAGCGTCTGACTTTTTCTTCTGATCTACTTTAAAGTGTTACTAAAATCTAGTCTCATCTATCATTAATATAAAAATTTCATATTCCCTTAAAACAACTATGCAATTTTAAAATCAATTTTCCGACAAAAATCGCTAAAACGGCGCCCTAAAATTGTCTACTTTGAGCCGTCTCGGGGGACTAATTAGAACCAGGCGTGACGTCGACGATCATTCCGATGAGTCTCCGATAGCGTACTGTAGGGAATGACATAAGGTGTTTAGATGTTGCATTAGGTAAGCCGTTCAGACGTTCAAACGGCGACGTTTAGCTACTATTACAAACTATTACAACCTACTAGACTATTACAAACCTGCGATGTCCGGTACAAATTCCGACAAAGGGGATCACAGAGAGCCTTCTACAGACTCGGACAGTCATGACAGTAGCGATGAACTTGTTGTCAATGCGTATCAGGATGAGCCCCTGGCTATGCCAGGGGAGAATGAACGCCGTGCTCGTGAACCCGACGAGGACGGCATTCTCCCAGCGACTTTGGATGCGCGGCATGAGGGAACGATCCCTCGAAATGGATGGTAAGACCAAGATCTCTCTTTTCTAGTATGCTGAAGTAAGAATCCTGTCCTTTTGATACAGACAAACGGGCCATGCGCTCGTGGACACGCACGGTAGCGACTGTTCAACTTGTGTGTTTGTAAATATTTACTCCACCATCTTGTTTCGCTGTTGGTGACCTTTACGATAGTATTTTTGTTGTGCCTGCGCACCCATGTCCATCGGGGTGTTTATGTGGTCAATTTCAACAAGAAAGGTCAGTTTGAAAAAAAAAACTCGCACTCGGAAGACCAATGGCAATGACTTTGTAGGAACCCGTTTCCCTAAACCACACTCCGAACTGACGCCCAGAACTCTAGTCGTCATGTCACTGCCCACAGTAGTTTACTTGGCTAGTAAAGCAATAAGAACTGATTTTGGCACCCGTAATTATCCGCATTTTCTGTGACAGCACACAGTAGAACGTATTTTGAGGATCTTGTGTTGTTTTCATTTACACTTCATTAGTGTTACGCGTGTGGAATATAGTATTACAGAATCCGGCCGGAGTTCTCTTCCATATTTTCGGCGTGTTTTATGCTTTATATCGGACTTTTTTTTGTATCTCATTTTCGCACCAGTCGTGCTTATTCTTGCCTGGTATTTTACCTGTCAATTGAACACTTTTCCAAAATTGTGTAAGCGCCACGTTATGGACCCACGGATCTATGGGGAGGGCCATCCGTGACCAAAAACATTTGATTAATTCAATTTTCTTTGTTATACTAGGTGTCGGTGCAATCAGTGCAGAACTGATTTGCTAGAAAATGCCAGGGAATACCGCTGCTGCTGGGAAGTCGATCCTGCCATGGGGAAACTCATGTATGATGGAGCCATGGACAGGGTGACTTGTGTGACGCAGCACCCAGAGTACATAGACCTGACCAAGAGGGTGGTGTTAGAACAAGTAGGTCCTCTGCTGCGGGACAAGCAGGGCAGACCCTACCGCCGAAGAGCTGGTCAGGATATTAATGAGTAAGATATTACATGTATTTGTCATTACATACACTAAACAGTTGAAGCATCATCCTATTACAACTTATAACAAGTAACATTACATGTGCATCACACAGTGTGTACACCAGTAATTCCTCTAAAAACTTTTTGGATTTTTTTAACAGGTTCCTGAGAGCTGTGGCCTACAGGTGGCTCGTAAGGTGGATGTGTGGATACCTGGGATGGGACAATGCAAGACCACTCCCAGCATGTGTGTACCACAAAATCAGATCCGACTTTAACACAGGCCATGCTGGGGGGTACAGTTCATCTGCTGAAAGACAATAAAACTTCATATAAGTTGACATAAACTTCATGTTGGTAAAGGTTGGCACAACTGTATTCTTTTGCACAAAATTATTTGTCAATATTGTCCATCTGTAACCTACACAGGATGGAAGACGAGTGATATCTTACTATGGTCTGCATCTTATATAACGATATTGTAATTTCAATACATGAAATCTGTTCTCATAACTACAACCATCATTTAGAAGCAAGAAGCTGTACCTGTAGGTATCATAATGCCATAGTTGTAGTAAGATATATGACTTGTATTACTGGTCTCTGAACAGAGTTTTATCACTATGACCTGTATTTACAGGTACAATAACTTGATTCAATAAAACAGTTCTCAACGGCAATAAACACTTGTTCACTCGTGCTTACACTTACTACTTACACTAGAAATAGAATGCTTCAGCTATAAAGTTATAAAAAAAACAGTGTTATTCAGCACCAAACCTATAAGGTGGACAAGTGCTACCATATAGAATGTTTCAACTAGAAAGTTGTAAAAAAAACGGTCTCATTCACTATGATTCAGCACCAAACCTATAAGGTGGACAAGTGCTACCAACATGAGAGCTGAACTGCACAGTGTGCTGTTCTGCTAAAGAAGGACAGAATTGCTGACATCAAGAAGCTTTCTTCCGAACCTCAAACCAGCTGTCTGGAGGGCTTCCACTCGACGCTCAACCACTGGCATCCAAAGATGACCCACTTCTCCTAGTTACTCGTACTGGGACAAGCCCCTCGAGGATGGCCTTTCATCGGCTGTTGGCATTTCTTGCAGGTTCTTGTTTTCCTCACGTTCACTGTTGAGCTACTTGCCTCTAGTTGGGTCTGTAAGTTGCTCTGTTCTTGCTCTGTAAAACAAAAGAAGAAATTGCTATTGATTAACAAACGATATCCCTCATACACCTCCTCCCATACTTACCAGCAAGTCCAAAATGGCCAAATCAGTATGGAAGCCGATTTCAGTCTTTCACAAAACTATATATAATGTAATAAAGAAACAGAAAAGACGACTATTGATAGTAACTAACCCGTTGGGTAAAGCTGCGTGTTCAGTTGACTCCTCTCTTCGTGTCGCTTGATGGCATCGTCTCTAGACCGCCGCTCTGGAAACTGGCTGCACAGTGGTTCTGGAACCTGTGCCAAATACTTCTTATATGTAGCCTTCAGTTGCTCCTTTGGTGTGTTCAGCATTACGTCTTTGATGTCACTGACGTATTCTGCAGAAAGTAAAGAATACATACATACATACATATCAGGGCTTTGATTATACTGCAGCTAGAATTTACTTTAGACTTATACAATAACAAGACAACACACATTGAAAAGAACATTTACAACTGACTAATAAATCAAGGAATGGAAAAGATTACCTGCAAACTCTCCCCATCCAGGAGAAGTGGGTCATCTTTGGATGCCAGGGATTGAGCGTCGAGTGGAAGCCCTCCAGACAGCTGGTTTGAGGTTCGGAAGAAAGCTTCTTGATGTCAGCAATTCTGTCCTTCTTCAGCAGAACAGCTTCAATCTTTTCAGTCCCTATGAATTATAATGAATATCAAAATACATTGTGTATTGAAACAACAAGTCGATATTAATAAGCTTATTAAAATACCAGCAGCACTAATGAAAATTTTGTACACAAAGCTATTGCCAGTTAGATAAAGTTTGTCATGTCTTAATCTAGGACTCATCTGAATGGATCAAACTCAGTCTTATGTATCACTTGAAACATGAGGAGTGTGATAGACATCAACCTGTGAGTGTGGATTGTCCCCAGCATAAGACTATGGTAGTTTGCTGATCAGTGATAGTTCAATATGATTAATTATGTATTTATTGTATGCCATGCTGGGATGAGAGCCAGTAAAATTGATTGTAGTTATCTCACCCCTCCCACATGTCTGAACTTTTATATAAGGCCACACCAATTTAATTTGTTGGTTCATGGATTTTTTAAGACAAAATATGAAGCGACGGGGGGAAAAAAGGGTTAGGGCATTAGGCATCCTATCAAGTATCATAGCCCCACATGCAGCGATAGGAGCCATGGATTCCACACAAAAGGCTGAATTAATGTTCAAACAATGATTTCAAAATTTTAATCAAACTACTGCAAGATAATTCGAAAAACTGTATCAACTAGGAAAAAAATGACTTTCCTCTGGTTGGGAGCAAACTATGACTGATTATAAGCATTTTTTAGTTGATCCAGATTTTTTTCTTGCAAATCAGGAAAAAATGAAGAGGCGAATCCGAGAACCGACAAATTAAATTGGTGTAGCCTAAAGACAGAAAGCAATGAACAAATAAGTACAAGACTTGGAAGACAGAAATGTGGAAATGTATTTACCACTGAAAATCCACTTCCGGTCGTGCTCCAATGGCCCATGTGCACACCTAGGGAAGTACTTGTTGGGGTGACTGTCGTGCTTGTCTGCAACGTGCCTGACAATTGATGTCCATTTTGCAGCTATAAGTTCACCAAATCCCTGCGATGTTGACTGAGCACACCAATACAGATGTTTCTTGATGCTTCGTATCCAGTCTTTTATGATCTCACATCCCTTGTCCTTGCTCGCCTTCCGCAGATCCTTCACCAGACTTTTGCACACATGCCACAGGTCGTAAAAATGATGAGTGTCTCTCTGTTCCTCTCTAATCCACTTACATATTCCTTTATGTCTGTCCGTGATAAATGTCGCGATCTTCAGGCCCGCTTCTGTCAGGAAGGAGAAGCAGCGTTTGGCACCATGTAGTTCCATAGCATTACTACTGCCAGACTGATTCGACTGTAGAAGCTCGAAGTGCACAAGTTTGGAGATGGTGTTAGAAAACATGGTGTACGCTCCATACTTCGCATTGTGTCCCATCGAGTCGTACCGACCATCCCCACTCCATGCTGCGTCGTCCCTTCCTTTCAGTTGGTTGATTAGACTCTGCCTGTACGACTCCCAGTGGTTGAGGATTGCAGGAAAGATGAGTAATGACTGATGGTAGAAGTACATCCGCGTTGAATACATACACAGTCCTATGTGCTTAAAAAGCCAGACATCAGCTTTCCGAAACTTATCAGGATGTTGCCGGCAGCATACTTTCCAAGGATGTAAGGCTGTGATCGCCACGTGTAGCAGTCATTACCACAAGAGTCGCAGTCTTGGGTCACAATGGCCATGGATCCGTTTGTTTTAACTCTCACGCGGGGTTTCTCCATCTTGCAGCTGAAGCAAAACATGCTGAAAAGGCTAACCAGCATGGTATAGAAGACTAGAAACTTCGGCTCGTCGAAACAATGGGTTCCGGGTTCAACACTGTAAAATATGAAAGGCATACTATGAACAAAACAAAAACTGGCAGTAAAAGTTTAAAAGTTACCATTTTCCTTTTGACATAATAAAAGCTAAGAGATAATTAACCACCTTTCCAAGTTACTAATAATCTATCTTGCTGATAAAATGTCTAAGGTGGTTAGCAAGCACATGTTGAACATGGCTACCTTCAAAATTTATTTTTAAAAAAATTAACTTACGTTATGCTTAGTCTCTGAGTCTCCATCCTTCTTGTCACACGAGTCTCCATCCTTCCCTTCTTCTTCTTCTCCGTCATCGTCTGCTGCTGACTCCTCGAAAGAATAATCCGTCTCCACTTCGTAGTCCTCATCATCAGTCTCCATGATCTCCTCCTCTTCTTCCTCTTCTTCCTCCTCTTCCTCTGGACTTGATGGCTCAAGCAAGACTGGATCAGTGTCCTCTGAGTCTTCAACCTCGCAATCAACCTACATATGTAATTCAGAAATTAGTTTATTCACACAGAATAAATGAAATGAGATTCACACAAAGTAAGAAAACAGTACGCTTCACACAAATTACAAGAATTATGAATAACGAAAAATATGACACAGAAGCAGGTGACTTGAAATCTAATTGGTGAATCCCAAGCCAATAAATAAGATAGTTAAACACCTTCTATGGCACATGGTGACAGTACTGTAATTTCTTCTTATCTGAACTTACCGTATGTGTTGATTTGTCACGGGCACGTTTCAGCCGACTGATGGTTTTCTGGAGGCGGCGGATCTTCTTCTTGAAAACCTCACAATCGTCACAGTACTTTTTTGGTGGCTCTGGGGACGGAGGTGGCTGTTCTTGTAGTGGCTCAAGTTGACTGCCATCCATCATCTCTTGAGCACTGGATGGGCCAGCGGGGGCTAGGACCTCATTGAGAATCTGTTGAGACACAAATAAGTGTTTGAGTTGCTTGTTATGCCCTATAACTTATAAGAAAGAAAATCAGGGCTCACTAAACCCAATTTCTACATTATGCTATTCAGGGCTCTCCCCAAGCAATGGTGCTCCCCCTCTCCCAAAAATTATGTTCATTCTCTCCTGTACTTTCATAAAATTCGCTAACAGTCTCTTTTTTTTGCATGGTACGAGAAATCCCGTTAGCACCCAGTCCATAGTACACGTAGGAACAGAACATCTCGGGGCACCCATGTCGGAAAGGCGCCGCCATCTTGTCTGTTATTGTTATGTAAAACTTTAGAGCTAGCAGTACCTGGTTTACGAAAGGAGCCAATACATTTTAAATACGGACAGAGCATCCCCATTGTTTTAGAACGCACGCCGGAACCGCCGCCATCTTGTTTCGCCAGAACTTGTTTGTTATTTTTTGGGGTCATAATTTACGCCGAAAAAATGAGTAAAATCTAAGTTTCATTACTGCCGTTTGTCTTCAAAAATCAAAAGAACATTTACTATACATTAAATTATGCTGCCGTCTTCATTCAGAATTTAGTGGAAACACGCTTAGAAAAGTTACAACAGAACTAGATTAGAATGCGAGTGTAAAATAATGGGGTGTAACAGTTACACGGTACCAGTTACACAACAATCAAACTCACCCGTCTGCGCGTGCGGTCTGTCACAGGAACAGTTGGAGTTGGCAGACCGGCGGTGTCGATGGTTGGCACCGCTCCTGGTAGAAGCCATCTCTTTCTTCCACAGCTCTTCCCGATTTCCAGATTGTGGGAGAAACACGCGGGCTCAAAGTATGCGGAGCACAAGACAGACGTGGCGGACGGTTGAAAATCGCGCCGGTGTTTCGCTACGAACTTAACCCACAATCTTCTTGTTTTCTCCCTCTCTCTGTCTAACTCGGTGCCGTTATTCTTGACTTTAGGAAACTGGTGAAGAGATACTCCTTCGGAATACTGGCAGTTTTTGCAGCTGACTCCGTTCGGCCCCCCTGCCACACAGTATCTTCCGCGGAGTTTAGGTTTACGGTCTACATGTTCGAAGGGCGGGACTCATCGATATGACGTCACGCATATAATTTGCATCTCATTTGCATTCGCACTCTGGCGGCCAAAATTGCGCTTTTTAAGTACGTTTTAAAATAACTTCCCGGTTGAGTTATGTCACAATCTCATTTTAATCACAAGACAAATAACTTCTTAAAATCGCATAAAAATACGGATGTCTTACCTAATTCCAATATATTTCAGTTAAGCTTTAAAAGAGATAATTTAAGGGAATGAATGTCAAGCCAAACTGTTTGGTCTGAATCTTGATTTCTGTGTTTTATGATCAAATCACCACCTCGGACAATATTCCATCCAGGGAAAAAAAAGGCAACACAGAAGGAAACTTTATGTTCACGGCATTACACGATTTAATTATGTCAGTGGAAAATATCTGTACATCTAGAAAAAAAATACAATACGGGAAATTTACTTGTATACAACCTAACGTCTACCTTTTCAATGGCGTAAAATAACTTCCTACTTTGGAAACTGAAGCACATCAGTCATTTCACACTGATACAAATCAATACGATTAGCTTTTGGGTTTTATCCTTACAAATCCTAGTAGTTTAAAGAGTTGATAGTCACACGATATAATTGTGTTTGTAGGACATATAGGCAAACACTTCGTGACAGGAACTACTAGTAGATGCACAGGAAATCTAAGCTCGTACACACACAACACTAACGTCTACATTCCAACTACTGTGTACAAACACAGCACTAATGTCTACCTTTCAGCTTCAACTACTGTGTACAATCACTTACCGATGTTAATGACTGATTATGTATATGTATATTATCCAATCAATACTATAACGCTTACTATTCTCACACAATTCTAAGTAGGTAAAAGAGATTTTTCGTTTCAAAATAATTGATATTAGAACAAAGTATATTGGATAATAACTAAACTAATACTTATTCTTGTACCAAAATTATAGCCATAACTTAATTACATATTAAAGTGAACAAGTATAGGGCTTTTTCTTGGAAAAAACCTTTGCCTGCTTGCAAACATCATGAATTCTTACAGAATATTCAGCCTAAATCTTAACCCTACCTAGACCGGGCTTTTTTGACATGAGGGGACGGGGGGGGAGGGCTCTTTTGACCCCCCCCCCTAAGAACTCGCGAACGGTTTGTCGTATGACCACCAAATTTTCAGAGAATGGTGTACTAGTGAAAATTTATCATATCTGCAATTTTTATGTCGTTATGATGTAATATGACGTCATTATGGCGTCATTAATGTGATTTTATTGGCCAAAACCGTCTAAATAGGTTTTTCCCTGAAAACTAAATGGTATTCAACATAACTGTACCAAAAGTGTTTATGACAGAATATTATGGTGTACTAAGTCTTATGTTGCCCATAGCAACACCGGTGACGTCATAAAATGACGTCATGCATAATTAAGATATCCGCCATCTTTGATCATCAATCTTGAATTTTCAAAAATAGTTTTTTTTTCATGATAAAGCCTAAAATACATCGTAAACATACTAAACCTTCATTTAATCCTTTTTTGGAAAAAGAAATGGAAGTATTGATGAAATTTTAATAAAAATAAGCCTGTATATACCTGTTCTAATGATATGGTCCGCCATCTTGGATTTTTGGCCAATGAGCAAATTAAGCATAAATTATGCATATTTAATGATAAAATTTACATAAAATTATATGGGATGTT